CAGCTTTCATTCAACGACTTATATTTTATCCTCATCGATAATTCGGTGTTGAGACTCTTCATCACTGCAATCAGTCAGAGGTACGGTAAGTAATTACGGCCTTTGCGATTTTTTACCAGAGCTGTGCAATAAAAGTAAATATGACTTAATTGCAAAGTGAATCATACTAAAGGAAGACAATGGTTAAGAGCATTTAAACATCTCAACTTTGTTTTGATTGCTGAGGCATACACAGAGAAATGATGCTGAGTAATTCTTTCTCTGATCACAGGCAGATAGCTTACAATTCTGTCAGATTTCTTCCGTATTTTCATTCGTCCATAGATCCATTCATTCACCCATACGCACGTTGTAGATGCTTATAATACGCTCAAGCATTCATTCATCAAAGGCTTGAATGTTTATCAGCATATTCGCTATTTACACAGTCACCCTGAACATCACAAGCAGTGTATCATATTTTTGTAAGGTACAAGTTCCTGTTATGTTTCTGAAAATCCATTAACGTTTCCCTAAAGTCTGAGAATTTGATCACGCCCCCAACGCAGACAGAACGACGGTGGCGTATATGCTGATATTCAGCTTATCGGGCCTCTTCGCCTTAAGAACCGCAACCGCCACAGCCTCCACACCCACCGCAGGCTCCGCACCCTCCGCACATGGAGCCACCTCCGTCGGCTGCGAACAGGAAACTGGTGTCCATGAACAAGTACGGTTGAGCGATCATGGTTGACGCTGCAACCGCCGCCGCGTCCCATTGGCTCTCCAGTTCGACGTCACGTTCTGAGGTGGTGCTTGCGAGGTACTTGTTGCTGGGGCACTCGTTTCCGTAGCCGGCAGCGAGAATCAGTGGCCATTGCATGTACTGTGGACAGTAGTCGATCGATGACCCGTGCTTCTTGGCATTTGTCTTGTACGGGTTGCACAGTGAAAATAAGATGGCGATTGAAAACACGGAAGCGATATGTTCAGCGAGATACACTGATCGACACTTGATGAACTTGCTGTGCAAGCACAGCTTGACGTCTGAAAATAATGAAAAGCACCAATTCAGATATATTCAGAATTTATTCATACAGCAGTTCAGGATGTTGGTCTATTTTCTATAAAGTCTAATGTAAATTCGTCCAAAAGACCGTGAGGGGCGAAATAGCACAAAAATTTAAATTAGGAAGTGCAGCGTCACTTTCAGAAGACATGAAGCAACCGATCGTCTGTTTTAGACCATTATGCAGTACGAATGAACGATAGGTGACAGTTTAAAAGCCATTTTCTTGATAAACGCACACTTGCCGTTCATTGCACTGAGTACATGTCATTCTTTGTTCCAGGAGTATGTGAATAGGGCAGTAGTCAGTACTGCATACGATACTAGTTCCTGTTGTTAAAAATTATATAAATTTGAAGGCATTTTATAAGGATGAATTTATGTTGATGCTGAGAAAAAGTGTTTTAGCCATGTTGCAGTTCACACAACGGTTCTGGCGGGCGAACCATTCGAAGTGCCTCTGAACAGAGGATAGTTTCTGTCCACTGCAAAAGTAAACACGACAAGATTCAGCCACGTGATAGAGTTTCATTGTTAGCAGAAGACAAACGACTACTTAATATCACACTTCTGTACCGACCTCATAGTGCTGTTTGCCCGACCTTAATGACTGAGCCCAATAAAGAGTAATTTAATTAAGAAAAATTGCATGATGGCGGCCTGCCAATGACAGACAAGCAAAATTTCCTCGGTCCTCTAATTCATACATTTTGATGGACAGTCATAGTACAACTATCGTTAAGGCTGGTAAAGAGCAAATGCCGCAACGTTCCCCTATATGATACTTTCCTGCAAATTGCAAATGCAAAACCTCTTTGAGGTAGCTGCCAGTGCATAGTTTGCTATGGGGCGCTGCGGTAGAATGGTAAAAGGATCAACCTCGAAGTGGGGACCGGAGGTGCCGAGTTCGACTCTTGAGAAATGGCAGATTTTGTCTTCATTGCTAATTCCCTTGAGCAACGAATGTGCCACACGTGGCTTCGATGCAACCAGCCATGAAAAGGTCAGCCAGACCGTTGACTTGCGAACAACAGAATCGCATTCTGGTGTGATCGTACCAGAATAGGCGAAATGTGAGCTCACAGTATGAAGCAATCACTATACTGAGACAGCTGTCAAATTTGGAAACAGTTCTCTTAGCAGACTTTCGGGTTGTCATACTAGCAAGACTCAATCGAGTCAGAAAATCCCTTCAAGTTGAAACACTGGAATTTGAAATAATTATTAAGCTTCTTAAATCTCTACTTGATTTTTTGATGTCGATGGCGGATGAGTTTGAAGTGTCTGAAAAAGAATCAAAGAAGAGAATAGACAAAGCAAAAAATATCGAATGCCGTGAAGAACAGCAACCAGAGCTTTGGAAAAGAAAGCGATTAGATGATGGTAATGCTGCAGATGTTGTTTTTCAATGAAGACAATAGTCTAAGGTGGAAACATATCTACCCATCATAAACAAGTTATGCAAGGCTTTTTCTCACCGCGTTGAAGCATATTACAAATTTCATCCATCATTCGGTTTCCTGTTCGAATTTCCGATAAGAAATGATGACAACATTTTAACAGCAGTCAAGATTCAGAAGATTTGCTCAGATGACATCAAGCCTGAATTTATGCCATTAATTTTTCATTTCAGGAACCTCGTTGGGTAATTTGATAAATTCTGGCACAAGCATAAAATACTACAAGCTTATGATATCTATACTCTTGTAGTAAACAGTGGATAAACTTTTTCACTCACATGTTGTAATAACCTTACGAATTTACTGGTGCTCAGTGATTACTAGTGCGACTGGAGAGAGGAGTTTCTACAAAGTAAAATATCTAAAGAATGCACACAGATTAACAATGGCACAAGAACGATTAAACACACTTGCTCTCATGGCAGCTGAAATCCATGTTCTCAAGAACATACAATTTACCATTGTTTTGGGGAGATTTATTTCCACGAAATTACACAAAGCAAATTTTTGAACTTTAATTTTGTTAGGCTTGTAAAAATAAATTCAGTTTCCATAACCTTTTATTATATGGCAAATATTACTGGGTGTCTCATAATGCCTGTAACCCAGGGGCTTGCAAAATCTTAATCCTGCGCCGTGCACGACTGACGAAAAATACTTTTTACCTTATAGCGTTATCACCACGGACCAAAAATACCAAAAGTACCACCCCCGACAATGAAAGGGCATCCCGAGATTTTCTTTAGAACCACAACCTGAGAAAACTTTGTTGCCACGCAAATTTATTTACGATAAAAAAGGCACTGTTTGGCTGGGGGAGGTACTTAAGGCTTGTTCCCATTTAGCCCATACGATAAAAATATGGTCTGTCCTGAACCTTGAAAAGGTCAGCTGACAAGGCTCTGGTGGATTATTATGAGGTCCTGACTGTTGCTCGTAATTATGGAGGGGTTGGGAACTAGTTGGTACAGCTCATCTAGTCGGTAAATGAGCTTTTTCCTGTGGAAGCCACTGGTGTCTTCGCGTTCATAAGCAAACATCTGCACATACTGGAGCAACACTGATATGCAGCACTCAACGCATTTTTGTAAGACTGATACATTAATATTAAAACAGCAATGTTTCTGCTCCTAACTCATCAAAGCGGTGGGCATGGGACATCTTCTGTCTGGTGCAATAGTTCCCATTGACCATGCACACGTTATGATGATTTAAAATATCAGTCTTAAATGATCCAGTGTCAGTACAATGAATATATAGT